ACGATAAGTTAATCAATTTGCAAAAATGTGAGAAGTTTCAATATCACATATGATTACACTCTTTTGGGTGTGTTTAATCATATATGATAAACATGTGTATCATGTGTGTAATTATGTATGATATTGAAACTTCTTGCAAATTGACCACATTCTCGTTTGAACATGACCTTATATATAATATTATATATAGAGAGGGAGGTTCATTTAAACCTTAAAAAATTTAGGAACTTTGGAACCATGGTTTTTATGAGTATTCATGATGAATAACATGATAAAATATTCATGAGGAATGTCGTGACAAATATTTATGATGAATTATATTTATCATGTATATTCACAAAATAGGAGGTTCATAGGTTCCTAAAATATTTAAGATTTTTGAATGAACTTGCACCTATATAAATAAAGGGAGAAGTTCAAACAACTCCAACTAACTATCCCATTTTGAATGATTAAGTTCCTGAACTATTTTTTTGAATGAAAAAACCATTAAACTTTCTCATTTTGAAGGATTAATTCCTTGAACTATTTTTTTTGAATGAAAAAACAATTAAACTTTCTCATTTTGATTGATTAAGTGCCTGAATATTTTTTTAATAGATAAACCGTTGCACTTTTAAAAAATGGTTACTTACATTCTTTTAACCCAAAAAAAGTTACATTAACCAACTTATAAAAGTTCGATGGTTTATTTAATTTTAAAAAAGATTCAGGGTCTTAATCATTCAAAATGTGAAAGTTTAATGGGTTTTCCATTCAAAAAAACAGTTCACGTACTTAAATCATTTAAAATGAGAAAGTTTAATGGTTTTTTCATTAAAAAAATAGTTGAAGGACTAAATCATTCAAAATGAGAAAGTTTGTTGGGTTTTTTTTAACTTTTCTCATAAATAAATACATATACAAAATCATAAGAGGCTAATATAGTAATTTTTATAATGTATAAATTTGCACACCCTAAAATATAGTAATTTTTATAATATATAAATTTGCACACCCTAAAATATAGTAATTTTTATAATATATAAATTTGCACACCCTAAAAACCATGGTTGTGACTACTAACCATAACCATAAAAAAACATCCAAATCACTAATACAACACTGCAACAAAAGTCTAACTATTGGCTAAATGCCCTTACTGAAGTTCCAAATAATAACATTAAGACATAAAATTATAATTGAAAGAAATTGTTTTCATGTTTTCTTGAACCTCCTCTTTTTTTTTCGAGCTATCTGTTATTGCATCTTCTATGAGTTGCATACTAAAAGTCACCTTTTGTCTAGTGAGTTCACGATTTTCTTTAGATGCTTAATGAAAATAAGTAAACTTAGAACAAAAATTAGGTTTCATTYGTGTGATAGAAAATTGTAGTAAACATACCAACCTTTCGAGGGACGTATCATACGCTTTATTTTGACAAATGAGCGATTTACTATGAATTTTACAAACAACATGAGCTTTTTTGGTTCTCACATAAATATAAAGGTTGCATCTTTGCTTAATACCATGGCCTTAAGGCATCTTCCTCAAATCCATTATGTGATTAAACACTAAGACAACATTTTAGAACACTTTTTCATCAATAAGGCGAGATATAACATGATTCATGCCTTGATTTGAGGTTGAACAACCCCCTACACTTGAAAAACTCCAACTACGATCTTTTGTTGCTCTTGCCTTCAATACTCTTCCAAACTCTTGGTTTTCTTTTGGATTTATGTAATTTAAGTCCTCCTCCTTGGGC